GATTTTAATCTGAACATGCAAAACACACAAGACTTCTTCAGGTACAACAGGATTGCTACTGAAGCAAATTAAAGATGCTGCTTTTTCAGAAGAAAAGCTGCCAATAGGTGTTCTCTAAATCACTTGTACCACCAGGCTGACCCCATTATATCAGCTAATCCTGGAAACACAGGAGGTAAATTTAAATCTTTTCAAATGAAACATTTAGTCAATATTCTTTTTTCTTTTTTTTTTTTTATTTTGTTCTGGCAGAGCATTGGGAGTTTTATATTCCTGTCCATCTTTTGCCCCAGACTATAACTTTCTGTGTGGTTGCAATGCCTGGAGGAAGAGGTCCAAGTATGACTTCTCCCAAAGGACAGAGCAGGCGGGGCATTTGAAAGGAGAGTGCTTGTTTTTCACAAAATGATAAAGAAACAGAAAGATCACAGGCTGTGTGAAGGGATGGGGGAAAGAGGGTGGCAGGCATATGGGAGAGTTAATGCTGATGCTCAGGGGATAAATCAAGTTCCCTTTGTCTCTATCCCAGCGTAGCGTCTCAGCCGTTGTACGATCCCCTCATCACCAACACACCTACATGCTGCCCGTGTTTCCTGCTTATGTTCACCCACCACCCAATTACCAGTCCACGAAGCTCCACACCTGCTGTGCCTTGATCCTCAGAACACTACACTGAAGCTTTTAACCCTCTCCAAACACCTACACAATACTTCATAATAATAATATTTAGCACACGGGAAGCTACATTAAATAATTATAGACAGTACTTCAAACACCAGATTAGCAGTTCCTCACACAGTGCGGAAGATCTGCAACAGACAGACCTACAGCTGAAAAGCACAGTCATTTTCAGTCTGTGAGTCACGTTTAAGTCCTGTCTCCTCAGAAAATCACAAGCCCTGTCTACGGGTTTTGTCCTAAGACTCACCATAATAGGTGTTTTTTAAAATCCCAAGTTTATGTAGAATTATGTGAATTTGTGGAAGAACAGCTTGCAATATGACCCACGTCTGTTCTAAACACTCACTAATCTTACATGCAAATAGAAAGAATTGACATATTTAAGTATCTAGATTTCTCTTTTGCTCCTTGTTCCCCACAAAATGTTTGAGCTTTTAATTCCTATCTCATAATTTTTTTAGTTTTGCTACTGAAAGCACAAAGACATTCACATACTGGACTTGACTGAAAAGTACTTACCTTCCATCTGTATCTCAATCATATGTGTCCACTGCTTATATTTCTTCAAAAGCACAAAAAACCCCAAAGTATAGAACTAGCTAGGGAGTTGATAGATTTTGATGCATAATTTTAGACTTAAACAGCCTTAACCGTCTTGACTTCTATCATTTTTGTCTTGTGCAAAATGTCCTCTAAAATACTATAGCAAACCCAGTATGAAAGTCTTAGGTTTTTATTTACCTCTGCTGATGACGTAGTTACAATGGGTCTAATCTAGTCTAATCTATCACTTGAAGTTATTTCATTGTCATCTTTCAGTTCCATGCACCTCTCCTAAATGCAGCAGCAGCATTTTTCTTGAAGAATACATGGTGTGAGTACACATCCAAACTTGTTCTTTTGTCCCTTTCAAATAATCCAACATGACGGTTCAAGCAGTGGTGACAGAATGTGAGACTGAAAGACCATAACCATTTTTTGACTGGCGTACTGAACACAAGTTATGACTGAGAATGAAGGATAAACAAATATGTCAGTTAAATAGAAAATGTTAGAGTGAAGCTATCAGGAAAAAAGATAGGGATGGCAATTACTTAATAAAATGTGCCTGTATAAGGAGAATGTTGTTGGCATTCATCTTCCTTTTTGTTCACAATATTTTATGAATTATTTTTATGTGGTGCTGAGGATCCTTTGCAAGATGTCAAGCACCTCAACAAATACTTGAATTTAGCATTTTATATAAAACTAACCACTATTTACTCTCTGGGTTTAGCAAACTTTGTTAGAAGCCAGGTTTATAAAAGAGTTTATAGGATGCTTGACAAAGTTAAGCACCTTCCTGCCAAAGATGGAGTGCTGATTTAATTTAGGGATTAAAAAAAAAAAAAAAAGTATATTACACAAATCCATCCATATGTAAACATAAAATAAACACATATCAGAAATCAACATTTCTCTGTGTCAATTTGAAATAAGAAAATACCACCATAATAGGAGAACTGTAAATTCTTGTAGCAATGGCTAAGTTGTAATGAAGAACAATTTCTAAACAGCATCACTGAAACAAAAATTATTTAGAAGTCCAAACCTTCAACAGGTATTCGAAAAAAATATTGAATACAGGTAAACAAAGAGTATCTCATATTTTCTTCAAGCATTCACAACCCTTCTGATTCCCAGGTTTGCATGTGTGCAAGAGAACATGGCACAGCAACAAAACCATTAGTATATTCTTGGTTTTCATACAACCATACTGAACAAGTTAGAAAAAAATGTATCAAAAATTGCTCAGTCAGTGACACTCTTGGAAGATTGGGTTAGTGCCTTGTATTTTACAACACCAGGAGGTTAGTATTTGTTCATGGTAATTTATACTAATCAATCACTTCCTGCTCTTTCTTCTTTCACTGTATTTTTAAACCCACTAACTAGGATATGCAGCTTTATAGCATCTCAATGATCATTTCCTTATCCCCGCTCTGCCATTGTCTTTTTGTGCTGAGACTAATGCTTCTAATTCTACTTTTCATAGTATTTAGGCTATATTGCCTTTTTGAAACCTTTCAGCTCAACCGCTAAGCATATAACAAAGCCCTTCAGATTGCTTTTGGTCGCACTAGTTCATGTTTTGAAAATACTACAAAGGCATATTTTTCATGGGAGGAGAGCCATGGAATGAATACACTTCTCCAAGTGTGATACGAATGCCTCCAGTTCTTTTGTAAAATTTGCATTGAGGTTTCAGTCTCACATGCAAAGTGGCACCATACTGTCCAACAAACACAGGTTTCTTTCTTAAAAAGCGTGGGCTTGTTTTGGCTCTATTCATAAGTTATTTTTTGAAAAATGCATTAAAATGTAAGAGTTTTGTTCTTCGTGTTTCAGTTCTGACACAAGGAAGCAGTGAGCATCAGAATGTTGTACTCCACAAGAATAGAACTGCTTGATTCACATAACTTCAGCGACCTTTTAGTGCAGACTTATCTATAGTTTCTACAAAGCAGCAGAGGGAATTTATTTAAAGGAAGCTATTTTCCCCACAGATCTTTACTTCTTGCATCAAGTATATCAGGGGTACACTTGAAGTCATAATATAGCTTTAAACCAGTGCTGATAAACTCATGTGGGATGTGACTTCAAAGTGTCAGAGTAACAGGAGTAAGGACAGGGAAGAATTTCATTCATTTTCGAAGCACTGGGACATCTATTCAGGCTTGAGGACCATTTGCAAATCAACTGAATCCAATGTGATCACTTGCCATTTCTTCAGTTCATTCCTTATCATGTGTACTTTGGTAGCATCTGGAGGCCTTACTCTATAGGGGACTACAAACACTGAAGGAAAATGTGACCTCTCCCATAAAACAACTTTTTACTATAACATGAATAATAATATCCCATCAAGGTCTTGCTTTAAATGCAAGATATTCCAAGTTTCAGGTTTAAAAGGTTACATTTCTTTTTAACATATTCTATTTGGTCAAATGACTGCTGCATATAGAAATATATGCCTACAACTATCTCCCTTGCATCAATGACTTACAAAGCTTAACTAATAATGAACGCATAGATATGAAAAATAGAATTAAAGCAGAAGGACCTAAACTCAACACCATCTACCATTAACCCCATATACTTTGTGACTCTATAATACCTCTGAAAATTGTTAATTTATATGCAATTTGCCAATGCAAAATAAAAGGAGAAACTAGAAAAGGATGAAGGTGAGAGAGTGGTGCAGGAAAAATTAGGAAGCAAAATCCTTTTCCGAGGGATAGTAATTGTTCATTTTAGTGAACATGGAAACTTTGATACAGTTTAATATGAAGAATACAAAATCAATTTTTTATAAGTGAAATGTGAATGCTACAAGTATGGAAGAGTTTGGGAATCCAGAAAAAAAATGTATCTTAATACCAGATGAGACCTTAAAAGTTGGACACTTTCGTTTGTGTCACAGAGCAATTTTCCTTCTGTAAAGACAAAAGTAAACAGGCCAAGCTGATCTATCCCTGACCTGATCTTGCATTTAAACCACCAGAAATGTTTATAACCCCAGATTCTAATCTGGCCTAAAGATGTTTCCAGCTTACATTTCCTGTTACCTCTTTCCTGTCTTGATTTTGCTGTTGTCTCCTGCCCAAGTTCTTCAAACTTTCTAAGAGCTAGTATATTGCCTTCAGCAAGTGATGAGCCTCTAAATCCAGAATCAGTGATGCACCATGAATAGCCTAATTGAAGTGTCAAAGAATATGGCTGCAGCCATTGGCCAAAATCACATCACAACCTTGACCCCAGTTCAGGAAGGCGCCTGATTCAAAATAGCTTCCATCTTTGTCCGGCTTTTTCATCATGTAATTTGTAGCACCACATTTCCTCTAATATCCAGCCCTACTCAGCCAAAAAACCTCTTAAGTTTACTGCCAATAACATAAGAAAGAAGGCAGCAGGACATGCTAGCTGACATTAAGAGTTGCCTCTGAATTTGGATTACTCAGGGGATTAATTTAATCTGACATATCCTGGCAGGGTTTGGAGAGTGCCACATTCATATCCAAACCTGTGATAACAAATTAAATCCTATGCCCTGTTTCTGAGTCAGAGAGGCAATAAAGTCAACGTTGAAATATGCATGTTTCTGATTTAAAATAGGAGTGTCTGATATTTTACAATATATCCGGGTTTTAACTACAACATGGGAATAACAGATATTCCAATTTAAGCAGGCATCTATTTATGCAGCAGGAGACTACTCTGTACACACATCTATGAAAAACTTTCATTTATGCACTGCAACAAGTACAAGACTCTCTTACCTGCAGGTTTGCACATGCTGGTGAATCGTTGTGGGTGGGTATTTCATTGTTGGTGGTCTCTGAACCTGTGTTTTTAAGTCTGGAAGCCGTTGTAGTTGTGGCTGTAGTGGTCTGTACTGGTAAGATTGGCTGCCACACATTCACATCAGTACCATTGCCGAAGGCCTGAATTGCATTTTCTGTAAAAATAAATCACAGGAAAATTTCTATTTCTAAACAAATGGCAGAAAGCAGAACTGACTTTGTAACCATTATTAGTATTATTCCATTGAAAATGTGTATTTATAGAAACTCAATTTTTATGCTGCAAAATGCGTCTTAATTTTGAACATGTCAGAAACCTGAACTGAGAGTCTGGGGTCACATAATTATCTGGTGCAGCCTCATCTTTGTAATGTTCCCAGTAATTCTTGACAGAAGCTCTGGGACTTACTGTAATCATATTTGTTACCACCCAAAAGCCTCAAAAATTTACTTTCAAGATTTAGAATACAGTTTTAATGTTATGTCCTAATTCAGGCAGGCGATGTTACATAGCAAACTAAAAACAGAGAGCAGGCAAAATATTAATTTATTTCTACAGCTTGTTGTAGTAAAACTAATATGCCTATAACTACAAAATGGTTTAACTAAGACAATCTTTTCCTTACAGTTTTCAATCAAAATCTGCATAATTAGGTGAGGGAAGCATGCTTAAACTAAAACTTTAGAATATAAAAGTTAAAAAGCTTATCATAGTTTCATGGGATTAAAGAGTGTGTTTATGGCAAGAGTAAATTGGTTGGGGTTTTTTATAAACAAATAGAAAAACAGTTTTTAATCAAGTCTTTGGGGATTCAACATGGATTTAGGGATTTCTTATTTCAAATTCTTTGTAGAAGAAATCAAACAATTTCACTGGGGACTAATATATGGAAGTTATTAATACTACTTCTCAGTGGTATTCCTTGCCTTACAAAATAATTTACATTTAATTCTCATCTGAAAAAGATGTATTTTATTCTGATACTAGTTCTTAGAACTCCAACATACAAAGAGAAGAATTCATAAAAGGCACCACAATCAGCTGGGTTGAGGGAGACAAAGTGGGAAGAGTGGAATGATATTTTTCTAGGTTTTACCTGAATAAGGCAATATATAAAAACAATATATTCCTATGATTTCCTAAATTAACAGCAACTCTTTGTTTCCATTATTGCAAGAAGGATCACAGAAATACATGCAATCCTTCCAGTTTTCTAAGTAAAAGTGGTCTTTACGATTAATCTTCTTATTATTTCATAGAATCATACTCAATGATCCTTATGGGTCCCTTCCAGTTTGAGTTATTCTATGACTCTATGATAGAACCATAGAATCATAGAATAGTTTGGATTGGAAGGGACCTGTAAAGGTCATCCAGTCCAACCCCCCTGCAATGAGCAGGGACATCTTCAACTAGATCAGGTTGCTCAGAGCCCCGTCCAACCTGACCTTGAATGTTCCCAGGAATGGGGCATCGACCACCTCTCTGGGCAACCTCTGCCAGTGTTTCACCACTCTCATCATAAAAAATGTCTTCCTTTTATCTACCCTGAATCAACCCTCCTTTAGTTTAAAACCATTACCCCTTGTCCTGTTGCTACAGGCCGTCTTAAAAAGTGAGTCCCCATCTTTCTTAAAATCCCCCTTAGGTATTGAAAAGCTGCAACAAGCTCTCCTCGGAGCCTTCTCTTCTCCAGGCTGAACAATCCCAATTCTCTCAGCCTGTCTTCATAGGAGAGGTGTTCCATCCCTCCTCATACTTTTGTAATATTTAAAACATATAAATTATATTTTAAATATGTATTTTATATATATAATTTTCATATGTATTTCAAATAGATTTAAAAAACCATAATGACTGTGAGGAGGTGCTTCATGTGTATAACTGCTCTCATAAAAGTCCTTTCAATAATTTTTATTAATTAACTGACTACTTCATGCTTTTCCTCCCACTTGCCAATTCCTTTTACTGCAGTATGAAGCAGGTGTGAACAAATCCTTTGAACAGATAGGTAGATACACTGAATCCCATTCAGTTCAGTAGGATTTCTAGAGTATGTAAATGAATGTCAGGACATTAATTTTCAGAGTAGCTAAAATAAAGTCTTAAGATGGATTTCCAGAATTTAAGATTGGCCAAACCCTAACTGGATAGGCAGCAATTAGGACCACTGTAACATTACCAATAAACTTGCATCTTCCAATAAAAAGGATAAAAGTACAAGCAAAGTAATACACAGCCCCAAATTTTAGGGTGGAATATATCTTAGTTGGGGCCTATTAATTTGGATTTTTAGCTTTCTTGAGATTGGGCCAATTTCACAGTTCTGATATAAAGCCATATTCTGCAGGACATTGCTGAGATAAAGAAACACTTTATCTAATACATGTAAAAAGAAAACAATTGTCTTTATTAGGACTAATTATTAACAGACTGGAACTTTCACTTGTATTTTCACACCCACCTTTTGAAATCAAAACTTTCACCCTAGTTTCAAGGGTTTCCACTCTGTTGCAAAAGGCTTTTCAACTCTAGAGTGGAATTTCCAGGTAAGCGCATACAGAGGCACAAGAAAGACCAGGACTTCAGGTGTGTACGTGGGACATGGTAAACTCGGCTTCATATCCCAGCTCCACATCATGCACAGTATGAATGTGACCCTAGGTCTCCTGCTTTCTGAGTCCCCTAACCCTCAGGGTACAGTCTCAGCTATTCCACTTTGCATAAATAACCAAATGGGCTTTGAATAAACATTTAAGCCAGGTTTTCCACATCCTCTGTAAATGGCCCGAATTACTGGTTTATTTTCCAGTTTGAAGGGGAAGTATACCTTAGCAAAACAGACTAGCATGAAATTCCTAGCTTCATTCCATCGTGGAAAAAGGATTTTTGTTTTGTCTAAAAAAAGTGGGAGGGATTTTAATCTCGTCCAATAAACAAATGACATTTTCTTCAGGCACTGTAAAGCCCATTAATGACAACAACAATTAAAAAAAAAAATTGGAACTTTTTCCATTCTCTGTAAGAGAAAAAACTTTTTATTAAACTAGAAACATCTTTAACTTCTTTATGACGAAGACATCTCTTACAGCTAGGATGACTATAATTTGTCTCACAGTAACCTCTAATGTCTTTGATTTGTCTTCATTAATGCTATTTTACTGATAGCAAAAGAAAGGACAAGGGATCGCTCTGTCTTTATGTTCTAAAAGGAACCTGTAACATTCTGGCAATAATATATTCACAAATGAATAAAATCTGATGTATTACAGTATATATAAATGATAGCCCCATTAGGTTTGAAGAAGGTCTGATGCTATATTGTTAACTTTAATCCAATCATAGTCTGAACTGTTTTCTGGGGTTTTTTGTTAAATGACCTTAAGTAATTTATTCATTCTCCCAAAGCTTAATAAAGAGTGTATCAAATAGCAACTCAAGTCACTCACTTTTTGTAGTCAAAGCTCCTCATGTCTTCACAACATGCTGCCTGTTGGGAAGCTACCAATGGAGATTTTCAGACCGCTATACTAAAATACAGACTGAACCCTGCATTAGCATTAGCTCAAGTATACAGGGCTGGATGGGACAGTCTGGATCATCGAGTTCATTCACTATTTTTGAAAAAAGCAACGATGTATGCTTCTTTTCATAAGCTGATGAAATACGACTTTTAAAACCGGTAAGAGTTTTTTACCCTGAAAACTGCTGGAAGCCTATTTCTTAACTCTAGTCTGGTGGTAAAAAATTTTCCAATTTCGAGCCTAAATACGTATGGCCAATATCTCACTTTTTGATCTTGTGCCAACATTGTCCTCTAGGTTAAGTAATCCTTTTCCTTCCCTGGGCTTGCCCCTCTAATGCAATTTCAGAAGACAATCACGTATCCTTTCAACTTCTGTTCTGCTAGGCTAGGGAAGCCAAGCTCTTTTGGTCTCCTCATTTATCTGAAATTAAAACTCTGATGCACACTCCACATCATCCAATTACGCTGCTCCAGGCAGACAGGAAATTTGAAAAGAGAACCTGCCAAAATTGACTCCACTGAGCCATCCTGAAATTTATAACAGTCCCTAATTTGGAAGTGAGTTTGACTAAAAAAAAAGAAAATCAATAATTTAACAAAATCTTGAAAATAGGTACCATCCAGACCTGTGTTAAAAACAGGCATCTGAGATCAAGTAGCCTAAAAAACCTGAAGCTTGGCTATAAATTGCAAGCACAATCCAATTTATACTTACCTACAGCAAATCCTTCATATCATAAACTACATGTCTTTTTTTATATGAAGTTCGTAAATTATACAGAAGCCCCTCAGGTGTTGCAAATTTTTGGTACAGATGCTGCCTGACTGTTAGGGTCCTAACATGATCTGTGATGTAAACATATTTCTGCACGATACAACTTTGTATTTGAATTTTTTTCCAAGAGCTTCTCATGTTTGCAGTCTTGGCCATAAACCATAGTATCAGGCATATTTGCTTGTTTAATTCTTACACCTACAGCAGAACCATGCTTAGGAAGTGCAAAAAGATGGCCTTGATGTATCGTAACATACTTAAACAGTAAAGAAATTCCAGAAAACATCCTAGAACACATTTAAGACATAGGATTTTGTACTCACTAAGGCATGTATTGTCCTGGAAGAAATTCAGAAATTTCATGCATTCATCTATGTCATTACCGCTGTTGCTGCAGTCACACCATGGGGCAACGCTGAGACTGTTTGAGTCTATGTAGTTTGGTGTCATCACTGTGCCTATCAATAAAGAGTGAAGTACAGTACTGTGAGCAACCTTTGCACTGAAATATTCTTTCCATTCTAAGAAGATAGCAAACAGCACTTGGTAAGTCACGTATTCAGAGCTGGAATCACAATGCAGACCCATGGCAGGGCTCTAACTTCCAGACTTAACAGCTCCTGGCTCCCTACGCCCTTTGACACCCAGCCCTATGCCATACTGCACACCCTCGGTTCTTTGAATGCAGCCACTTTAGGGACTGTAAAATGACTTATGCAGTAAAGACCCATTCCCTTCTTCCAAAAAGGTTTATATTGCATTCCCACAGAGAGCTGTAACAGCAGAATTGACAAGGGGAAAACTGTGGCACAGGGGAGGGATGGATTGGAAGAAGGTGGGAACCTCTTAAAAGGGCTCTGCTGCCAAATCAAACATAAGTGGACCTGTGTCCTTAGAGTTGCACTCTAAAAATCCAATTTTTCTTCCTCACTTATGTTTTTTCTCATTTTTGTTCTAGCTGCAAATAGATGGCTGAAACTAGACATCCAGGCCTGAGCTTCCTCCTTGAGTCTGCAGCCAGCCTGAAAAAAAACATTTCTGAAACGCAGGAGCAAGGAGAATGCTAGTCATGCTGAAAGGAGCCCTAATATATCTTGGAGGAGCGTTAACCCCATAGTGCTCATTAGTGACCTGCCAACAGAGTGGGTTATGGTGATGAACAAAGCAAAAACATAACCAGCATGCATAAAATGGTACACTAGATTCTTTGCAGGAAATAAATTACTATTAATCTTGCTGTGTCACTACTTTTTCACTACAGTGATTGTTTCCTAAGTATTGTCAACAACTTGCAACCACAGGTTCGCTCTAACTTTATTACAAATTCTTGGGTAAATATTCTCACATTTTTGTGCCAACTCAAGGCTACCAAGAATGAAATGAAACCAAAGAATGCATTTTGTGTCTTAAAAGATATACAGCAACTGTTCTTCACTCATCTGGATCAGGCAACTGTTAAATGATCAGCACTTATTCAAACAAGTAGTCTCACGGAAGGCATTGCCCCAGCAGGTCAGAGATTTCAAACTTCCCTAAGGATTGAGAAGTTTGAACCTTTATTTTATTTGTCTGACCAACAGGAAAGATTAAATAAAAAGGGGCAGGTATTCCAGACTTGTACTGGTGACAGCTGTTTCAGGAAACATGTTCCTCACTTGGTAATCTACAGTTCTAGGACAGGCTATATATCATGAGGAAATATGACCATATCTCCTCAAAACTGACATCAAAGTAGTCACTAGGAAGATGGAATAGATGAAGGATAAATATTAGAGACCCAAAGTGTACACTAGCAGAGAAAATTTGGTCCATAGGTCCAGGGTCCAAGAGTCTGCAATAACACAGAGGAAAGGGCTATCAAACATCAAGTTAAAAGAAGGAACATTAGAAATAACACAAATCACAGAATGATGTCAAATAGCCTTTCAGTCACCAGGCAGAGCTGGGAACCGGACAAATCAACATGCAAACTGCTTCATACATGACATGGGAGACAAAGGAGAACAGACATTAAGGGCTGGCCTGAGAAAGGCAGTAATGTATTTGAAAATGAATGCAGTCCCACTGCCAAACTCACAAAAAGCATCTTTAGTCTTGTTTTGGGGTGGTCTTACATTAGAATGCAATCCCATACCTTTACCTACTTCCAGCTTTTAACGGATAGTTGCAGTAATAATTGCTCAAATTCTACATGAGATTAGCACATGAGTAAATAGCACCATTCAAAATTTATTAAATGGAGGTACAGAATTTAGTAAAATAGGCAAATATCATTTGCACCATTAATGAAAACTTGACAGTAGATAAATAAGAAGAGGAATGATTTTAAATTAAAAACAAATGAAAATATCTGTCCATTATCCGTTTGATGGTTCAGTACACTATTTCAACCATGTAACATGATCTGAAAGAAGTGAAAGAAAATGAAAATCAAGAAGATTTTGCAAATGGAAAGAAAACAGTAGACCTCAAAAAAACAAAAAGGCTAAGTAGCAAACGCTTAGTGAAGGGTTAAAAAAACAGAAAGGTATTAAGGAAATTAAAAGGTCACTGATGTAAGACTTTGTTATCACAAAGAGGTAACAAGGTAATTAAAATGGGTCAAGATAGGGGCTAAAAGCGTAACAGATACCAAGGTACGATTAGGGTTGATGAATACAGGGAAGACAGGACTAGGAATGTGTATACACAGCACACAAACTGTACATCCAGAAAAAAAGAGTGGCTGAAAGAGCAGATAGTAGAAAATCAGTCTGTCATTTAAACCTGGGGGCAGATGTGAACCCAAGCGGATTATGTGCTTGGTTTCCTGGGGTGGATTTTCTTATTTCCCTGCAACGTGTGTGCCTTCCCCTTTCCCCTCCCTGCTAGCTGGCATCTTGGAAATTCTGCTGAAGGACACTAACGGATCAGAGAAACCATGACGGTTGGCAGTAAAGTAGGACATGCTTGGTTTTCTGTGTTCTATGTATCAAATAGTTCTGTGATGGTCACAATAGTAGGCAGTCAGGTCTCTGTATTTTAGAAAAAACAAAAATTGACCTGAACACAGCCAAGAGGTTGCTCAAATTAAGGTCAATTAAGAATGAGGAGATGGATAGCGAGTCCAGGACGAGGGGCATGTGACTGAAGTTCCTTTGGCCCATAGCAACTCCAGCTTATTCACACAAACTCTCATGGAATTCTTGGGAATCCCAGGGAAATTAGAAGGATTTTACCAAAGACAAGGGAAAATGTGTCAGAAAATTCATATTAAAGCAGATCTTGAAGTCAGCACTTAGAGCAATACTTAACTGATGTGGGAGTACAGACAGGTCCAGATAGTTTAACTAGGCTGTAACCGAAGTACTGAATCTCAAACATGGCTAGCTCCAGTCTTATTCCACATTTAATAATTTTTTATATTTTTCCTTTAATTTTTTTTAAAAATATTAATTTATCCCTATTACTGCAATGAAGAGCCTAAAGCGATGAATTCATATTTTCAAAATTCCTGTAAAATACACATATCTTTAAAATTATATATATAACACCCTGATGCACTTAAAGCACCCTATATAGACTGTTCTCCATTTAACTTGTAAACCACCTCATACGAAAACTGTGCCTGACTCTATTTCCACTTAAGTCATTCATTTCAGGTGGGATTCCACTAGTTTCAGTGAAGTTAACTCTGATTTACATCACTGTATGTGACAGCAGAATCATATCCACTGTACCTTCCATAAAGAATTCTCAATTTCCTGAACAAACTCTATGGAGGTGCAATTTTTGCTCATTTAATGAAATGGCTAAATTAAATAATATTTTATTTTAATGAGCAATATTTTATCTTAATTAAAACACCTGGAGATCCTGAAGCTCTGATGAATGAATGGATCTGTAACAGCTTCTTACCTACAGTCTATCTGTCTCTTCTTCCTGTGTTTTTTATATACTAAGCAGACACTTGAAAGATTGTACCTCTGATTTCTATCTCAGCATCTTACAAATTTGATGGTCTTCACATAATTTACTTCAGTTTTATATCAGCTTGATATCGGAAGAAGGAATTTACCGCTTCAGCACATTTGTTTTGGTAATTTTCTTGCTTTATCAGAATTACTACAAAGAACTAAAACCCCTTGTAACACCACTCAGTTCCTATCTTTTTGCATGTGTCTAGGGGCTAGCAGGAAGGATTTTGATTTCAACTCCTTAGGGATCCATTCCATATTTCTGACGTGTGACAGTGCTTTGCAGCATGCTCAGCCACAGTAACACAAAAACACCTGACTACAGGAACTGGGTCATCCTTGGGGTTAAATTGAAAAATGGATCCAACAAAACTGCCAGCAAAATTCACTAAGTCCAGCAAGAACTTCTTGGCAGTTCTTACCCAGAAGTATCTATTAGTAACAGTTACTCTTTGCCAGCAGCTAGACTTCTTAATCTCATTGACTAGATCAGATTTCAAGGCTATTCAATTCCTTGTTTTAGAGTCAAATGACATTCTGTCATAACTGTTCATATGTTATACCCTTTGTGTACTTCATCTCTTAAGTCATAGAAGCATATCCTTTGAAACCATCACATCTTATTTTACCAGTTGCCACATGGACTTACCTCACTTGTTAGCTGCTAGAATAATAAACCAGTGAATATAGCTTTCAGTCATTTTTCAGTAAAGCCAACCTATTTTAGAAATATTTTATTTTGGATATTATCTCCAGAGACATTTACTTAACAGCAGGATCTGCTTCAGGGCCTCAGCTGGGACCTTCACACCCAACAGAAGGGGATATTACTGCATCGCAGCAGGTGCAGGCTGTAAGCTTAAAAACATCTTATCTGGTGGCCTTTAAAATTTGTTTGTTTCAGAGTTTTGACATTCACTTATTCTTTACTGCCCAACCATGGTATTTCTACAACAAGTTCACCTTCCTGAGATGATCTTTCTCTTCCAGGAATCAAATACTGCGTGTGGTATATGGAAACTGGCTTGCATAAAGGCACCCTTGTGCCTCTTGACAGTCAGGAAGGTGACAGCAAACAAAATTAATTATGTTGGGGAGGGAAGAGGATTTCAGAAGATAAATTCGGTCTCAGTTCACCTCCATTGACAGGCATCTCAGACAACAGTTAGAGTGGACAGAAGGACATCATGGAAAGAATAGCAGCTGGAAGTGAACCAAGGCTGGGTTGGTCTACCACCTCATTCCTCAAATGTCCTGCAAACTTTCCCTGAAGACCAAGAGGTATTTACCCAATCTTGTGATGACAGCTGCAAAATCAACCAAGCTGCAGTTTCACTTGTTCTTTCTAACTTCCTACATCATGGTCCTGTCCAAATTCAACCACCTTAATAAACTTTACTTTGTAAGATTGAATTTATTTCAAATTCAAGCACCTTTCTCTCCTTATCTTCTATCCTTAATTTCCTTGCAAAGTACAAATTTACCCCAGGAATCTCTGTAAGGTAACACAGGGCCAATACACTTAGGTGGAGAATTTTGCCTAGTATCATATTGTACAGTATTACATTCCACAGCTTTTATTTTATGTGGGCCTTCAAAATACAGTTGGGGTGTTTTTCTTAGACTGAGCAAGCCCCCACCTTTCCCTGCCTTCTTACCAATAAGCCCCGAGTAAGCGAGGAGGCAGTCAGCATAGTTCTCCTTCAGACAGCTACTAACAGACCGTGACTCAGGCTGGCAGTTTGTGAAGAAATCTGCAAGGCGAGATCTGCAACGTGAAGAAAAATGCACATCTTTAAAAATCAAGCCTGCAGGCATTCTTACCTTTTACACTCTTCTTATTTTTGGACAAGGCTTAATATTCTTTAACTTAAATGTATATTGGACACATTTCAGCTGATGAGAGTCTCTTTCTAAGATGCATGTCTTTCCTGAATCCATTTTTGAAGTCAGAAGAAAAAAGTGTAAGAAAACAGTAAAAAGGGACAGAACAACAGGGAAATGTCTTCCCTTTACTAAAAGAAATGCTCTGCAATTTCATGCCCAAAAAAAAAAAAAAGACAAAGAGCAATTTTATCATATGAGCAGTCATTTTGCCTGGATCTGAATTCTAACTGGAATCTGTTGTTCTACAGATTCAGAACACCGTTTCTGCTGTTTTACTGATTGCACAAAACTGTATGTTTGTGCTCACAGAGTTCTCTTACTACATGACTTGAGGCAGGACCTGCTTTGGTACTGCCCTGAGTTTCCAGGGAATGGGCTTACCGCTGCTCTGGACTGGCCTGCAGAACCAGCTGGCCAAACTGGGGGTAGCAGGCAGATCCAGATGGCACGGTCTCCACAGCCCCCCGGAGCCATGGTACTGAGAATCTATTCGTTCTTGTAAAATGTGCATTTATCCGAAGTCTACAGGATTGAGCCCATGGCTGAGAAGAAGGGAATGTGTGTTCTGCATCGAGTTCTGCTGCTGAATGGCCGTATTATCTTCACTTACCTCAGTTACCCCATGTCCAAGAGGGGAGAGCACTGCTTACTTATAGGAAGTGCTTTAAGACTAGGAGTGAAGCTGTATTGCAATTAACAGATTACTACTAGGTTAGAAAACAAAAGAAAAGACTAGCAGCCAGGAACTCTTCTGGTTATTTGCACTTTAAAGGCCACATAATGCTCCCATTCAGGTCTGTAAAATTTGAGAGGCATCACTGAGGTGCGTCAAGGTCCCACATCCTACAGTCGCCCTCCTGCCCACCTTGGCTTGCTCTCCTCGGCTCCGCTGGTGCTTTCACTTAGACTTGTAAACCCGGAGCAGTGACTTTTGTTTATTTATAAAGTGTTGTTTAGACCTTTATCTCCGTGAACAAAATTATTTAACCTCCTTACTTCGATCTTCTCTTCTGTGAAAAAGGGATGAAAACGGGTTTTTTTGCATATAACAAGTCACAGTGATGTTTCAGGATCAGGTGCTTAATCTTTGCAAAGCCCTCCCAAATCAGAATTGTATGATCTATGCGTTTTCAGCACTGCTCTAGCATTATGTAGATTTGCAATATAAATGCCCTTTTTTAGTTTTGCAATGAAAACACAAAAGTTAGCAGAAACAAGTGATTTGCAAGTGATTTACTTTATTTGTTTACATGCTCCAGAGACTAATTATCTTTGTTTGCTTTATTGTTTTACCTACCTCAGAATGGTATTGGATGTACATCACTAATTGGCCTGAAAGTAGTAATGGGCAAACTTCAAAAGGTTCACAGGCTTAGTTTGAGAAAACATCCTATAAATAGACCATATGCAAACTGTACCTGAATTCATCTGAGCTATTCTTATGACCTCTTTTCAGTTCCATCCCTCACTAACTGTACTGACACCAGCAAATCCATGGTTGCCTTCAAACCACAGTCAACTGTATGCTTTTCACTCCCTCCCTTCCCTTATTTAAACATTTAACCTTGAGATGAACATCTGTGCCCTGTTGCCTTTAATAGCTTTAAAAAGTCAAGCTCTCTACCGATCCTTCAAGATGCCCTAAATGTAGACATAAATTTCTAAATTTCCATAAAATCTTTACTTTGCTGGTGAATATATACTGTGTGTACCAGGGGACAGGCTGAGAAGAAATGGATTCCAAGGTATGGGAAGAGATAAATAGCAGCACCATGAAGAAAATCGGGGCAAGGAAACCCTACGTCACTGCAGTGATTCCTCTCTCAGTCAATAATTAAGATAGTGGCTCAGATCCAGCCTTGTGAGCAACTGGGAACAAAGACAGTTTCCAAGGTTTTTACAAATTCTGCTAATACCTGGATGAAGTCTGTTTTAGGACAGAAGAGCCTATTACATCTATCTAGTATGAAAAACCTTTGCCATGGTAGAAAGAGTAAGCCTGCTGTATGTGCAGTATTTCTGCATTTCTAAAACAAAGTAGCTCCTCAGATTTAAATTTCATTATTTATGTGACCACAAATAAATCTTTTTGGAGATGCAATTATCTGACCAGCGTCTTGAAAATCCTGAAAACTTTTCTTGCAACCATTTCATCATTCTTAAATATCCAGTTCTCCCTCAGATTATTAGGTGCATTGGTCCAGAGATCATTTAATACATTCCTCTTCTCTAAATGTTTTTAAGGACTGATAACTATGGAATAACACCAGTCATTTACTACTCAGTCTGCTTAAAGAATTTATTTGTTGTAAACCCTAATGGAGGCTAAAAAGTGCTCTGCTGATCCCTTTTGCATACAGCATGATTTCTATGCTAATTTCTGAAGAATTTTTGTGGTCATAAAAGGTAATGGTCTGACAATGTTGCACATTTAAGTTTTCATAAGCCAAATATAGTTCAGATATCTCTGGTCCAAGCATTACTGGACATCATCATACACGTCCTCCCTAGTGAGTCATCCAAACTTCATACTATCACAGTTCTCTCTCCTCAGCTGTTAACTATACCTGATATTTATGTGGATTCATTTCCACTGGAGATAAAGTTAAGGCCAGCAAATAAAAATGGAGACAGACCTCCATCTGCCATAAAATAACTCCATTATTTTCAGCAAAGTTCTGCTGATTAACGCTCACTGAAGAACTAGCCCCAAACATTTCCAGTAGACTGGCACTGATGAAAGTGTGCTCATCAGCAATACCAGAACAGTGGTGCTATTATTTACCTAGAGAGAGACAAATTAGCCTAATTAGGAACCACAGAATCATTTTTCCTAAAGTATTGCACATGACAGTAAGAACTGTTTGGGTAAAAGAGACAATCCTTTTACGGATGCTGAAAAAGAGCAATCAGATGATTGAAGTCCTATAAAAATATGCATACTGGGTTATCTTAGTGTTCCTTCAGCAAGAAGCAACTTGTAGGTAGTAACTTGTGAGTAAGTGTCTAACTCATGACTCAGCAGTTTGGTAATCCAGAGAACAAACAGAGCTCGCAACATGTGTGCCTTCAAGTGTGGACAGTTTTACATGTGCTATGTACATATGTGTATCTATTTGCTAGATGGCTGGATAGAGACAGCAGTTTTATATTATATTGTGCATAACATATAGCAGGACCACATGTATAAGAAACTTAGTTTCTTTTTCTGTTGAAGAATCACAAATCCTCTTTGTGCACAGCAGCATTAATGATTTTTTTCTTTTCCCTTGCATAAAAACAAAAAAGTAACTGAATAGAACTATCCAGAAATCTTCTTCCTAGGAAGAAAAAAAAAGAAAAAAAATTCTTTTTGCAGGGCCACAAATTAAATGCTGGTTATCTTAGCCCTGTAAAATCTCTTCAAAGTAAACTGCAGATCTTCTGGAAAGCTCACTTTAAATACTTTGTATACCACTAACTCAAAAAATAAGAATAATCCCATTGGCAAATTCAAAGAAAATCTGCTCAAACAACAAACAGACTTTCTAAGAGAAAAAAATCCCAAACCTGCTATTCTCTAATGCTTTGTATTCGTAGCAGTAAAATCATTTGTAACAGTTAAAAATACAAAGAAAACAAAGTTAATTTGCTTTCCTTATGATAGTGGTTCTTCAAATACTCAGCAGGATAAATCAAAACTTTCAAATTTTGCTTACAAATAAGCTTTGTTAATAGCAGTATTGTGTTTAATCTGCATATAATTTTTGAGACAATTTAATTTTATATTAGCACAGCCTATTGCGTAGGCAACATTGATTAGGTTTTCACTATTTTTTATTCTCAAGGTTTTGTAAAAGTTCTTTGATGTTCTGAAGTTATCTTTGATATTTATCAGTTCTCCCTCTTTAAAGTTGGTCAACTCAGCTTCAGTACCGGTGCAATATTTAAAAGCATGATATAAATGATGAAGTTGTAGAAAAATTCTAAAACTGCATTTTTAGCTTGGATCTGGTATAATTCATGGCCTACTGGAAAGCAACTCTACGAACCAGACATATGAGTCATCCCAAGAAGTACCCCTATCACTGGGCTAGCAGGTCTTGATTTCTCTGACTTCTTTTTTTCTCTCTGGCTGTACGCATCTTCAATTGCTGGGACGGAGGGGCTGAGCCTTGAGAGGGAGAAATCTTCTCTCTTAGCCTTGCCTTTGCATTGGCGATCTTCAGGCCAAGAAAGACATCAAATCCGGACCTCCCGCTGACTGCACACACGTACGGTATGATGTCCAAGTGAGTGGTTACAACTACTTGCCCTGTTAGTGAACGCAGGGAGCGAAGGCTGCTGTCCTCTGCGCTCACCTCGGTGATGTTAGGTGAAGTCTGGACATGCTCGCCACCATCTCTCTTTACATTGCTGCCTGTGTTTAGGTACCTATTTATGGCTCCACAGCAGTAACATAAAGAGCGCGTAAATGCCAAAGCTGAGTGACTGGGGTGACTACACTAATTAGTCAAAGCTGCTCTAGCGTCTAGACACCATTTGGCAGACACAGCATAGTCACGTAAGGGAAGTGCTGCATCAATATTCAAAACAGAAAAGAAGTATATATCTGACACTGAAAAAATTCAGACTAAGTCAATGAATATGTGTCATAGTGATAAATGACACCATTATAGAAAAAAACAAGCCCAACTACTTGTTCTTCTTTTGTGGGGGTCAAATGCAGTATCCTCCTCTGTAGCTACAAATAGCTCCCGTGGAGCTTGGGTGGTGTTATTTCTGTTGGGATGCAATAGTGGCAAGAGGGGCTGGTATGTGGCCAAACTAATGGCTTCATTGTTTGAGGAGCTATACATTTTCTCTTTGTTTCATAAACACACGGTGAGTGGGCAGTGAGAA